TTTTTTTTTTCATCGTACTGACCTCCTCGCTGTCTCCTAGACAAATTTTATAACTTACAAAACAAATCTGCTCAACCTTTGAGCATGAGATAGTTTCCCCTGATAGTTCACGAAGTTATATCAATTTTCACTTTGTTACTTCCCATACGCCTTAGCTTTTTATACACCCCCAAAAAACTAATGCTGTAAATATAATTAGCCTAACGTATTCCTTTATATCCATAATTATAGCGTAGTGTCTTATTTCCATTTTCTAATGGTCAGAGACAAATAGTAATAGAAATAGAAAAACTTTTAAGACAGGAAAAGGTGAACGTCTGTTCCTTTATGGTAGGTTACAGAAGAGCTGGATAACGTGAAAACCAAAGTAACTATTTTGCTCAGTTGATGAAGTACTTTGTTACTGTTAATTGTCAGTGTTACTAATATGCCTCACTGGTTCACATGCAGTGCGAGATGGTGAGGCATTGAACCAAATCTTCTGTTTCAAGGTCATTCTCATAAATAGAGACATTTTTGGTGAATCAAAAACTTGATTGTGTCCCATCATTTTACAGCTTCAAGAGATTGAAAGAGAGATTTTGACTGTAGGAAGCACTAACTCTTCAGTTCAAAATCAGGTACATATCAAAACTAAATATTGTTGCATAGTGAAAACATGTGGCTTATATGGTGCACTTATGTCGGTAGACAGTCTACTGAGTTTTAACGCTTTTTTTTTTTTCTCTGTAGGACTTAAATACTGCAAATGTCTTGCTCGCGATACAGAATTCTTCCAAAAGAATTGACAACTTATCAGCTCTTTGGCTAGCACTGAATGGTAGTGTTAATGCACAGATGATTGACGTTGAACAAAAAATTCTACAGCTGGATCAAGAGGTAATTGGGGGAAAGCACAAAGCATAGAACGCAACAGCAATCAAAACTTACTTTAATGATATCCAATGTTCAAAAGCGAAGTAATCCAGGACCATTAAAACGTATCAACATGCTGCATCTTCAAAGCCACAAGGGCGTGGAGCATGAAACAAATCTTAACTATTATTATTCATTCCTGGCTAGCTGCGGCATACATATCTCAACAGATCTCATCAAAACCCAATTGTTTCTGCATAATCTCTTGCTCTGCGTTTAACGTTCTTTAAGACACCTTCCTTGATCTAGCGGAATTGAGAAGTAAAGTGGAATCTCGCCCTAATGCAAACCTGTTAATACAGCCACCTCGTTATTAGGGCCACTTTATTCTGTCCCGAACAAAGGCTCATTCAGTCACTTTCTTATTTAAAGAACCCAGTTAATACGGCTACACTCTTGTGGCCTGTTAATTACTAGATTAACGGGGTTCCACTGCGGTAGTGACTTTGGCTTTGGTTTTTATATTGGCCGGCTTTATCGAAGGATTTCTCGTGTTGCGCTGTCCTCAAGAATAATTTGTCGTGTTTGGTAAGATTACAACAAGTTTAGAACGTTGATGTGGTTTCCTAGCCAGCTGTATCATTTAAACCGTGTAAAACCTAGATCTACTGTGATGCATGGGTAAAGCTTCCTTCGGTAGATAACTGCACTGGGATATGTGAATTGTCAAGGCTAAAATGGTGACCGTTATGATTTAAATTATGTGGGGAAAGAGCTTAAGGACGTTCGCGCGAAAATTTCCAGTCGATAGATTGTTTTAAAATATACTTGCGTCAAGAAATGCAAAAAACAAAAATGGGAGTCACCGACTTCGTTTCAGAGATAAAGCGTGTGGAAAACTACCCTGACTTGGAAAAATTGGCGCACGTAATTCAGCATGGTCTACAGGGTTTTATGGTTAAAAATATCGAAGGTGAGTCAACGGAGGCAAACGATCTTAGTCATATTTTGTAGAAGTGGGTCTGTTGCGTAAATAAATGTTGCCAACATTTTCACAAACCTTAACCTTTCAAGGGAAATTTTGCGAAAAATTTAAACTTCTAATCGATAGATTCTCTTCATTTTTTCGTTAAACGTGGAAAATCGGTAGTGAAAATGATTAATCAAAAGAAATATAGGGGTCACCGAACGTCCATGATCGTTATATCCAGGAAAAGCTATAGCAATGGCCATCTGCTCTATAATTTTTCATTTTATTACTTAGCGCGTGCTCGATGCATGACGTGGCGTGTAAATTTGCGCGCCGTAAGGAGGCGCAGAAACAATTAGCGCGAACGTCCTTGAGCTTATTAAGCCTCACACTTCCCGGTTACATTGAAGTATAAGGCCAATATCTAAGATTTGTAAGGGGTAAAGTCTGCGTCAGGGCAAAGTGACGTCCCGCACCGCCGAAGCTTGGGTGCCGTTTCCTTGTCATTAAGTTACTAGAAGTATTTCAGTCTACTTCCCTCTGATTGGAGGGCAAGTCCGCTTCAGGGTTACCGCAAGCTTTGAATTGCAGAAGTGGGTCTGTTGCGTAAATAAATGTTGTCAACGTTTACACAAAACTGAACCGTTCAAGAGGCATTTGAAACCGCCGCAGAGATAAACGAAGAGCTGAAAGAGCGGAATTCGATGGTGCATTTTGCAAGAAATTCAAACTTCTAATCGATAGATTTTCTTCATTTTTTCGTTAAACGTGGAAAAT